GTACGGTGATCTCTTTACACATTTCCCTTGTTAAATCATGAGCTACTGGAAGGTAAAGACCAGAGCTAATTCTTTTTCATAACACAATGCTTGACAAATATTGGTTCTTAACAAATGTCTGTTGAATCATTGAGTAGAGCTAAAGACATAAAAATAAAGTTAAAAGAAGAGATAGTGTGAAAGAGAAGAGACTAAGAAACATTAATAAATAGATAAACTCAGATGCAGGAGAACATAAAAATAAAGAGAAGAAGCAATTATGAGAAGGACCAGAATAAGAATGCATAGAAAATGAAAGGGAAAGAGGCAAAAGATATACATGGGTGAAAGAGAGCTGGAAGAGAGGAGATGAGTGAACTTAAACGCATAGGTCCCTTTCTGGTTTTTCTTCTTTTGTTTTTAAGAATAAAGCAGAAATGCTAGAAACCCCAAAAGTAGAATATATATGTGAAACTGCCAGTTAACCAAGATATAGAATTAGATTCAGGAATGATGTAGACCAATGATGCATGGTCCAGCATATTTGACATCAACTGGAAGATTGTTAGAAATGCAGAACCTCAGGTACACACCCCAGACCTACTGAATCAGAACATACATTTTAACAAGATCCCCAGGTGATTCCTATGTAAAGTTTGAGGCACAATGATGCAGACATTTGAAATCCATAGATAACCTCCACATCTCCCTCTAGTCAATGGTATGGTGCACAAAGCACTGACACTAAGCAGCTACACAACCTTAAGCAAATCACTTAATGTCCCTGGATCTCAGTTTCTCCATCCATTAAAGGAGAAAGTCACAGTAGATGCTTTCTAAAGTGTCATAGAGCTCTGATACTCTTAATCTCATCAAACATCATAACTTCAAGCCATTCCTATACCCACCAGAACAAACAACAAATAGCATCATTCACTAATTATTTCACTTCCTCTCTCCATTCATTTAATATTTTTTCAAGTATCTATTATGTGCCAGTCACTATGCTAAGAACAAAGGATTCTAAAATGAATAGACATCCCACCCTGTCCTCAAGGAGCTCACAAACTTCTTAGGGAAACAAGGCATATAAACAAAATTAGGATAAAGTGTACAAATAACCATGAGCAAGCATTGGTGATGCACAGAAGGCAGAGCAATCACTCTGCTTGGGGCAGTCATGGAGGATTTCAGCAAGAGTCAACATATGTACTAGGTCTCTTCTCTGCCAGCCTCAGCTGAAGGCACTAGAAAGTGAAAAGACAAAAATAAGGTGGCTGGAGAGCATCCAAGAACCAACCAAAGGTTCCTGAACACACCTCTCTGGGTTCACAAAACCCCAAGAACTCATCCACACAATAGATCTTGTGTAATGGCCACAGACATACCATTAACAGCCACAGGTCAATTTCAGAAACCCACCTCCTCTGAGTTATGTCTGCTCCTTCATTCCCACTGCATTCTGTTCTTCTGTCTTCTGCATCCTTCTGAAAGATAATATCAATTCAACTACTAATCTACTCTCCCTGGAGATTTCTTCTTGTGGTTGCAAAGAGGGGATGCACTTTAATAAATGTGAGCAATTCATTAGACCAGTAACTCTTTTGATCCATATTTATTTATAGAGACAGACGATGCTAGTATCCGACTATATGCACAGCAGCAGAGACTGAAAATGTAGTTTACTGAAAGGAAGAAATTTCTAGAATTCTTAAGGAGGGCATAGAATGGCAGAGAGAAAAAGGAGCTTATCCACTCCTGACCCCAACAACTTACAGTCTTCATTATTAAGGAAAGAAGGCTATTGTTCAGAACAATAGTTTTCCAACCTTCAGAATGGTGAGACCCACCCTGGCTTCTATGGGCTGATTTTTTTGCTATGGTTTCTTCACATATATCCTGTCCTTTCTCCTGCCTCCTTCTATATTTCATAGTCCATAAATATTAACTAAATGTTTGCTTTAACTTGTCAGTAGTGGTGGACATGTCACCTTCATTTTCATATTCTGGAACAAGAAAATAGGAGGAAAAAACCCCCAGCATCCCAGGTTCATCAAATTTATGGAAGAGATGGGACAATGTTTTACAAGGTAATAAGGATGTGCCCAAGGGCTGGATCAGCTCAGTCCTGTTTCTCCCTGTCAAGCACCACTCATCCCACCAACCAATTTCAAACCATGTGTCCACCTCCAAGGTGCCCACTGCCCCTCCCCACACAAGGCTGGGTGGGTGTACACGAACCCAGGAAGGAAGACCATCAAGGTTCTGAAGCCATCTTTCTGGAGGTGAAGCAGGAATACAAAATCAAGGTACCTGCTGTTTATCCCTTCGCCAGAGGAAGTCGCTCTTCTTGCTCAGCCTAAAAGAAAGGCACTGGGTGTGCAAAGTAGTGACTAGTGGAATTTTTTTCTTCCTCCTCCTTTTCCTTCATTCTGCCTCCTGACTTATTCTCTTTGCCTGCATCTACCCCTGCCATAAATTACACACATGCAGTGGCAAAGCAAGACTCTTCAGACAGACAGGCTTCCTGGGGATGGAATCTATGAAGACAAGAAATTAGACAATCTAGGGGCACACCCTGCTCCTCTCCTTGCAAGTTAAGATCTATCTCTAAGCTGCCATATCATTCTGTGTTCACAGATCCATCATGCTTTGCTACACCTGAAACACACGGACAGAAGACAACCATGTTGTTCTGCTTCCCTTGAAATCTCCAATCTAACACCCTTCCTGGGAAGTCTTTATTTCCCATTAGTTTTTTTCTTAATTGTACATCATGAAGGATACTTGATTGAAATTAAATTTGCTCTTCCTCCCACCAGGAGCCACATTTCTTTCCCAGGTAACCCACATTGTAAGGGGTTAGGGGGTGGCAGAAGGACGGAAGACAAAATAGAACCCAGTCAGCTCTTTGTGCTGTGAGGAAAAAAAGAGGAGAGAACAATGGCTCCAAGACAGCCCAGAACACCACTGAGTCACAGCCTCACGGAATCTGCTCACGAAGACAGGGAACACCTGCGTCCTCACCAGGATCTCCAAAAGGGCTTTGGATGTGGAAAAGGTACAGACCACCTGTGGCGATTCTTCCTTGAATCCCAGCAAGCCCTTTCCAGTTGGAATTCCTCTCTTTTCTCTTTGTAGCTTTCGACTGCCCAGTCCTCCTCTTCCTCAGCACACTCCCCTTTAAACTTCTTGTCCTTTGCCTAGTCTTAGGGCCAACTAATGATGATGGCCTAGAACCTGGCCTAATCCCACTAGCATTCAAGGTGAATGTGCCTGAGACCCTTTCAAAAGGCCTCCTGTCAACCTCATCCCCAATAAACAAAACATGAAAGACCCACTTGGTGTAGAGCAGTGTCATAGGCACCAGGAATGCAAAGGGGTCATATGCCCTCCAATACCCACCTCACCTTGCTCATCTGTACATATGAGATCATCGCACACGGAGCCGCTTTTCTCATCCCTACCTCGGTTCTATTTTGAAGTAAAATTAAGAGTTCATCTTTCCACTTGAAGGAGTAGAAGCAGATGGGGAGCCAGCTCAGGTGTCTCTAAGGTGAGCACACATCAGATAACCTCAGTTATTTGTAGACATGGTGAGAACATGGTTGAAAGTGGGATCCCACCCTCTCACTTGGCTTCCACTACTTCTCCCACATTCCTTTAGTATTTTGGATTATTTTAAAGTATTGTTCTAAAAAAATGCCAGGAAAAAAGATTTGGGGGGAGAATCCTTTCAGAAGGACTATTGATGCTAATGATCCTGCTACATTATTTTGAAGAGCTTTCTCTCAACCTGATTCCCGCATTTGGGCGCCTTCAGAGTTTGGGGATATATGGTCAGTGGACTAAGGAGAGGAGCAGCCAGCTCACTATCATGGCCCTCCAGCCGGTGGATATTTGGATTTCCTCAGGAGTTGTCTTGGATTTCATGAGTGACTAGCTGAAGAGTCATTAGCTAAGTCTTTTCCATTTCTCCTGCTATTTCTCTTTTTAAGTACATGAAAATACTGCCTAACCGCATTTCACATATTGTAAAAATTGATGAGAGGGGGAAAAAATTAAAGTATGAATTCGATTTTGAGGGTACAAGACCAACACAGGCAAACGGCACATCTCTTTGTTTAACACAAAGACTCACGTGTCGAATTCTGCACCCCTTCCACATGCACAGCATTTTAGAACTCTGCAAGATAGCCATTTTGCAAGAGTGTGGAAGTAACAGTTTGCTTGGAGGATGTGTGGGTATAAATAGATGTGTAGACAGAAGGAGAAATTTACAGCTCAAAAATAATAGCACACACAAAAGATACAAATTAAAAGCAGAATATTGACAGAATTCCTTCTTTCCAAGCTGAAGATTTAAGTCCTGTTAACCTGCAGCATCCTTCAAATCCAGGTGTTCCTACACCAGCCTGATTCCCCACCGGGACCTGTCCCTCTGCAGTAGGCCTCCCGGGATCTCTGGGCCCTGGGTCAACCCTTTAGACAGCAAGTGGACTTCGGGGCACCGACCGCAGTAATCTCAATCATTATTTTCATTTTTTAAAGGTATAGAAATGATGACCAGGAAGGCAGAGGCAGGAGATAGAGAGAGAGGCGTGGAAGTGGCAAGGGGGAAAAGCCAGCCTGAAAAAAAAAAAAAATTTCTGGATTCCCATAAAAATCAGAGCTTTAGCTCTGAGTGAATAAAATGCAATTTAACTCGAAAATCACACAGGTCTCCCAGCTGTCTGCACACATATCATCCCTCATGCCATCCAACATCTTCTGCCGTTACATACATCCCCCCTCACCCCCTGCAAAAAGCCCAAAACCTGTTTGCTGAGGAAGGAAAAGAAATAACATGGGAGATTTCCTCCTTTGTAATAAGCCTTTTTCCCAAAATAGCATTATTTTAATATCTTGTTACCTTTTCTCCCCCCCCCCCCAAAAAAATCCTATTTGAGGGACTTGAAGAGAGAGATAAACAAGGAATCCCAACCCCAGGTGAGAAGAAAATGAAATCGAATTTGCCCTACCTTGCTTTGTAGAAGCCAAACCTCTAGACGGACAGATTAAGGGAGTGAGCATGTTGGGAATGTCCAGTCTCCTCTTCTCGCTTGCATATCCACATAAGAAAGACGGAGGATAAATGAAAGGAAGGTAATTTAAAATCCAATTTAGCGTGAGTTTTGTTTTAATCTTGTGTCTTGAAGAGATGCAAATTCAAAGGAAAGAAAAGATTGAATTCAAAGGTAATTCAGGGTATGGAGAGCAGCTCACAATGCAGAATCCAGAGTAATTATTCCGTTTGCATGTGAGGTTAGTGGCTGGACTATGTTTTTTAATGATTCTTCTGGCAATTACGGTTTTTGATTTTTTGGAGCTTTAGTGGAGGAGGCTCTGTGTGGAGAAGCTGGGGGCCGGCTCTGTCCCTCCGTGGAGCATGGTCATTCCCAAAGCGTCCCCTTCCTAAGGGGGAAAAAGACGCGGTCAGGGTTTGGTTCGAGTGTCCCCCGGAGGGTGAGAAAAATGCATTCCGAAAAAGATATCAATTCGTTTTAAGGAAAAGGGGGAGGAAACCCCGCATTTCCCACAGAGTGCACACGAGAGGAATTGAAAACAGCTGGCACCGGTCTATAAATAATTCAGAAAAGGTCTGGCTATACCATTCCTGGGACAGGCATGGATGAGAGGTGGGAAAGCTAACCTGAATGGGAGAAGAGCGAGGGAGGGAGGGAGCGAAGGAGGGAAGTGGGAAGGAAGGAGGAAGGGAGGGAGAAGCGGCACCATATAGCAACACACACTCACACACACGCAGAAACCCAATCCCCACTTAACTCGCCAGCAAGTGCGGCCCCCAGCCCCATCTGCATTGCTGCTGACATGTCTGTCTCGCTCTCCCCATCTCCTCCAGCAGCAGCGCCTCCTCCCACCCCGCGCTGGTGCTGAATGGGTTCTGATTGTGCACCGGGTGCACACTGGGCATTTCTTGGAAGGGGCACACTGACACGCGCGCACACACACACGCCCCCGACGCGCACGCGCCCCCGCGCGCGCACTCACACTCACCCCCGCGCACACTCACCCCCGCGCACACTCACGCCGCCGCCGCGCTGATGTGCAGCGCACGGGGCTTCACCTGCAACGTGTCGATTGGACGGATGGTCGCGGCGCGTGGGTCCGGCCCGGGGCACCCATGCCCAGCCTCCCTGCTCCGGGAGGGGATCAATCCCCCCGAAGACCGGGGAGAGCCCTACCCCTTCGCCCTAAAAAAAACCTTTTTAAAAAAAGCCACGTCCAAATTAGCAAGTGCTGGCTTCTGCTGGATTTAAGAGCTTTACCTAATACCAGGTTGGTTAACGGTTCCACTGCTTCGACCCTTTATCTTCCTGTCACCCGCAAAGCCCAAAATTGAGACAAGAGACTCCAAAGCGCCTATTTACGTACCGACTCTGAGCGCCTCACGATTGCAGAGTCTCCGGAGAGGGGTGGCCGGTGACCGGGGACTGAGGGTTTTCCTTCCCTGCAAAGCAGGATTAATAATCCGTCTCGGGGGTTTTGAAGTTCACGACTCTTCTTTGCAAAGCAAAAGAAAATGCATTCGGACGCCAGCACTTCAGCATTGTGGTGATCAAAAATCACCCCGACGAGCACTTTCGATAGAGCAAAGCCCCGAGATTTCCTAGAGGTGAAGAAGCCGAAGGAAGTGGTTTTTGAAAGGGGGTGGGGGGACCTTCCTTTCTCAAAAAAAAAAAAAGGGGGGGTGGAGAGGCAGGAGCCCAGATTCCAGTTGGTGATGCTTGGAGCCGGGGGAGGGGAAGCGGGCGGGGGCAGGCTGTGCAGATCAACCGCACGGCAGCGGGAGAGGAAGGGGGGGTGGGGGAGAGTAAGAAAAATGGTATTAATCACCGGGGACGGGGGGAGGGCGGGAGATCACAGGTTGCCTGGTCTGGATTTGGGTCTCACACTCAAAAACGTGCCCCCATCCCCCGCCCACACACACACACACACACACACACCCCTACCTCTCACACACTGGCTTTGGTGGGAGGAGAAACCCACGAAGCTAGGGAAGATGTTTCTGCTCCCAGGGTGTGTGTGCGTGCGCGTGTCCTCTTTCCCCACATCCCCCTCCCCACCCTACCCCCAAACTCCTTCACCCCCTCACTCTGGCGGAGGCAGCTTCCCACGTCATGTGCTGGGGGCCAGTGGGGTAGAAAGGGGGAAAAGGCTTAACCCGAGTCCGTGGCGCCTCCTGCTGGCCGCAGTGGGGAACAGCAATGAGGAAGGGCTGCTAAGGGGTGCTGGGAGCGAGACAGTGCCAGTGGTGGGCGGCCGCGCTGGGCTGCGGAAAGCATCTCCAAGGCGGAGCTGCAGTTTGAAATTTAAGACCCTTGCTTTATTTTCCATAAATCAGCCTTTGCTTGGTACGTGCATCCCCATGTGCTGGCCGCAGTTTAAAGCCGAGTTCTTGCCTTCAAGGAGCTTAAGATCTATTTTGAGCACATGAGGCTGACAAGTAAAACAATGGGAAACAAAGCAAGGCGAAATGTAATTAAGGGCTACATTGTATAGTACAGATGTATGTGTGCTTTGCTGACTGCCTGCAAAGGTTTGAGGAGTTTGGAGTTTTTTATTAAAGCAGATCCTGTTATTTAGAGACCTTGAAGAGAGAAGATGAGACTTGTGAATACAATCTAGATTTCATGGCATTTACAAACCCACCCTCTTGTAAAAGGCAAACATCTATTCATCGCTGTCTCTTAAGCTGTTTTCTATTTTAACAGCACTTATCACCACCTGTAGTACTGTTTGTTTTTAATATCAATATCATTGTGTATGCATCATTTTTATTCTGATCCACGGTCTTTTCAAAGATCCAGAATATTACAGCGGTGGAGCATTTTCATGTCTTTATATCATGAGCTGCTCACGGACATTCCTGAGAATCAGACATACAAACACACAGGTAACAATCCTGTGTGAAGTGGTTACACCTAGTAGCTTGGAGCTTGCTTTGATCTATGCAGAATACACCAGATGTATATTGCGCTCCTCTAGAGCAGACAGTACTCTTAATACACCTGAGCTAATTCTTTCATGTTTCCTAGTTTTTGTTAGGTTTAATCTTTAAATTTAAAATTTTTAAGAAACACAAACACAGAAGCATTATATGAAAACACAAATACAGTGTGCTCACATGTAAGTGAATCTTTCTTGGCGATGGGATTGCTGTTTTTCTAAAATGGGTTAGGGCTGATGCTCCTCCTCTTTGGAGCGCTGCAGAACCACCCCAGAGATGCTGTGCCTCTTGGTACACAGTAGCCAACCCAAGCCCTTCTAGGTACAGATTTCCAATTGTTAGAACACGGATTCCAGGAGAGGGCTAGGATGCAGAGGGCCAGGGCCCCATGGGGCTTTCCTGAAACACTTCCCCAGGTCTTCCAGGAATGTCCATTGCCTTCAGAATAAGATCCAAGCTCACTCAAGGGTTGCCCTTTAACCTTCTTTTCTTTTTTAATCTCTGAGCCCACCTTACCTTCCCTATCCCCAATCCCCTTCATCATCCCCTTCATCAAGATTGGACCATTCTTTTGTTTTCTTTTCCCCCCTTCCTGAACCCAGCAATTCCATTCCAGCCTGTTCACTTTTGCAAGTGTAGAGAGAAGAATGAACACACAGACCCCCTCTCCCTAATTATCTCCACCCTCCCCTTCAAGTTCTAGCTCAAGTCCCACCTTTTTGAGGATATTTGTCAATCAACCAAGCCTGAATTGATTTCTGTAACAATTTCAAGGATTTTAAAATGAGGTATGGCCCCTCACCACCATCCCCTGGATTCCCACGCCCTGCAGGTGGAAATGTGCCAAGGAATTTGTGTGATCAGTTATCAAATGACTGGGTGATGCTACTGGCATGTATGATCCAGTCACCGGAGATGCTACACGTACTAAACTGGATATTTGGTCCTACATTGTGAAGAACTGGCCCGAAAGGAAAATAATACTTCCATAAGCTATTTGTGTTGAACCATATTAAAACTACAATCACAGGAAATTGCCAATCATATGAAATAGTCATTATTGACCTATAATAAAAAGGCAATTTCATAAGGTTAAACTTAAAATCGTATATGTATATTCTTATGTCTATATATTCTTATGTATATTTCCTGCCTTCCCAATTAGTGTTTAACTCCTTAAGGGGATAGACCACAATCTAGGTTATCCATATATTCCCAGCATCTGGCTGTTGGTTCACAACCTCGGGAATTCCCAGGGTGAAATTCGAAATTGGCCCCTGTACCTGAAGGCCAAGGAGAGACGGAAGAAAGAGGCAGACCGCTCCAGACTGGTAGATGTCAGGTTTAATAAGCAAGGGAACTTACATATGAGGCCTGTCCTGGGTGGCTGCAAGATGAGTAGGTCTCTGCACCAACTCACCAGTATCTTAAGAGTTTATACAGATGCCTTAACAGGGTTCCATCACATATCCAGTCCAGACGGGTCTCAACAACACATTACTCTCTCAAGGCTGCAACCTTGAAGTGGCTCCTAGTGCAGGAACATGGGCAGAACATACATTCCAAGCAGAGGGGAGAGGGGAAGGAGCCCCTTACTACCCCAGTGCACCTCATAGGTCACCGGTGGTCATGTCCTCTTGCTGACCTCCTCCAACATGGCACAATTCCAGACATGTGGTGGGGACTCAGTAAATATTAAGGGTTTTTTTTTTTACTATTAGAAACCACTTTCTCAAGCAGGCTTACTGACTCTGGAAGAGCTAATTCTAGGGAGCATGCAGCTTGTGAAGCGGAAGGTGATAGCTCTTCTCCATGGTATTCATTGCCCATTGTCTATTCGATGAGAGCAAGACTTGTCTCCTTATTTCTCAGACTCCCTGTCACTCACTTGCACTTCTCATGAACAACCTTCTCCAAGGACCACAAACCTTTCAGTAAAAATATTTTCAAGGATCAGCCAGATTCATGAAATTTGAAACACCATTTCTCAACATTGCAAATATGCATTTCCTAACTCCTACTCAGGCGGTACAGAAAGCAATATTCTAACGAGACAAGATGTTGGATTATATCTCACAGCATTGTTTATTGAAGTAAAAGCTCTTGCCTGAGGCTGCTGATGCCACTGGCGGAGGTGTCTGCCAGCTCACTTGACCCAAAGACAGGATCTCAGAAGATGCAAACACTCTTGTCCATGGCCCAGTCAGCAGATGCAAAGCCCATACCTTGCCCAGCAAAAAAGAAAAAGTATATTTAACTCACAACTTCTTTCAGATCAAACATTGGTAGCACAAAAGGGTGGGACCTGAAACTTACAATTTGGGATTCCTCTTTAAGGAAAAGAACAGAAAATTTGGAGTGAAAGTGAATATTTACTTAAAATGAGAAAATAAATCAATCAAAATAATTTAAAAATTCCTTGATACTTATAAATGTCATATTTTTTAAATTAAATAATTTTTATTAGTTACTCCCTGACACTTCTATAATGCTTGTTTTTCTATATTTTTGACTCCCTACTCTTTGAACACTTCTTCACATTAAGATTTATAATTTTCCATGGAAATAATAGAATCTAGTCTGTTCTTTACCTTGGTTGTTCAAAAACTGTTTTTCATTATTGATCATTTAGAAAAACTTCTTACTTATTGGTAGTAGTGAAAGTTCATTATTTACCTTTAAGGAAAACCTTTATCAAATTTATCTGTATATAAGCTGTAAGGTTGCAAGGATTTCAAGTTTTCTTGTACAGTGACTAATCTTAAAGACCCCTTGAATTGATGACACTCACTAAGCAGTTTGCAATGTATTATAAGTTTTACATTATCTTCATCAATGTCAGTATTTTGTCTCAAACCAGCCAGAAATTTAAATTTTTCCCAGTGTGTTCGTATGACTCACTCCTCTTCATTAACTGGATTATCAAACAATCCAGAAGCCTATTCATTACTTCTATTCAAAATTTCTCTTTTCTTCTTAAAGAATTACAGTTTGGGGATGATTTGGAAAAAAATGCCGCAATTTGCTTCTCAGTGTCAGATTGATTTCTATTTATGTCAGTGCTAATCTTTATCATGTTTGTTTCATATTCTATTAATTATTATCTGAATTTTCTCTTGGTTCTTTAATAAACGTAGGTAATAATAGAAGGAACTCTTCAAATATGTCCCAAACAGCAGTCTGTACTTTCTCATTTGTTTTATTAAAATGTCCCAAAATATCTTTTCTAACTGCAGGTAAGGTGGCGCAATCAAGCTTTATCAACTCTTGGAATAAACTTTTTTACATCGCTCTGTTCAGTTTGCTCTTCCCAGCCTATGAAAATTTTAGAACCTTAATGTGATGTACTCGTGTTACAAAGCCTAAGCAGCTTTCTAATGAGAAACTTTACACTTTGATTCTTTAAAGAAAATTCTAAGTTGTTGCATACTCTATTTTTGAGACAAATTTGAAAGAAAAAAAAGTGTTACAAGATAGAAAAGTGGTCAACAATTTTAGGAAAGGTGGAGGCAGCTTTTTCTCCAACCAGAATAATGGGATTCACCCACAGAACACACGTCTGTGACACTTTCATGTCACAATGCTAGGGGAGCATGGTCAAGGGGCAGGTAGCATTTTCCAGGAAGGTTTTCCTTGCTTGGGACAACTGGCAATTACTTAACTCTACAGGAAACTGATTGCAAGCTGCATAAATATATTTTACTAAAACCCAAATTACATTACATTATGCCCAACTCGACTTCCTCTTAACCTCATCCCAAAAATCCTCCCCGCCACTCCAAGGACACCAGTGGGAGGGGGAAATCAGGCAGAGAAAGTTGGAGTGGAAAGAGACAGCAATCTTAAATGATTGCAATTAAAATATGCTACTTTTGCCAATTTTACTAAAACATTTGGACACATTATTAGGGCCTCTCCCACGGCCTTAGAAAGGGTCCCCACTGAGGGGCTGAGAATCTGAAGCTGCTTTAGCTTCAAAGTCAGTCTGCCTCTGCTCATAAGCCTCTAAAACAGGCTTCCTGGTTTCTGGAGAAAATATTCGGATGTTTTTTATCTTTGAAAAAATAATTCATTAAAGGCTCAGTTGACAACA